GTAGAAATCTGACGGGCAAATAATTGCTGCCACTGATCACAGACAGTGAATTAACAGCTTGGAAACAGTGTTTCCCGCATTCCTACATCTTGTCCTCAAGCCTAGGATCAACATTAATTGTGAGCAGCTGTGCTTGCAAGTACTTTATTCTCATAGCAATTTATGTTCTACATCAATGCTACAGTGTCTAATTTTTTCTGAAAAGAAATTTCTACCTGAAAAATTTTATATATATCACTCCATAAATAATACTTTTCCCTCTTAAAGTAGCATCAAGAATACAAGTCAACAATTTACTGTGGAGATACCAAAGGCTGGGGAAGTGGACTTTACCTTTGTCAGTGGGTATCTTGTTGGCCAGGTAAGAAGATAAAAGATGTGGACATGATTTTGCAATACTTAATACTTAATACTTAAAACTTGAGTTCAGATGCTGAAAGGAATTTCTGTAGATATAGTCTTTGTCTGCCCTTTCCTTCATTGGTCTCATTTCGTTGCCAGTTTATCCTGCCTTTTACTTTTATTCTCTTCTTTTTTTGCTGTCTGTATTACCTCTATTCCAAGAATTTGTCAGGCATTGCTATGGAGGTCTTCTGAGAAGGCTGGCTAGCCAAGATAAGGTTTGGGAGGCATTCTGCAACAGACTTAAAACAGAGCTGTGGAAGCCACTGAAGGATTCCTGAACTCATTTGATTTTAGCCTTGAAAGCTCAGTTAAGACAGTTGTTCCTTTGGGTTGCTAGAACTCAGAGCAGCAGCAAAAGTGATTAAATGAAAAAAAAATAAAAAATAAAAAATATTAGTGTAAAACAGATACCGGCATAGGTTTCTGGAAAAAAAAACCTAATCTTGCCGTTTCCCAAGCCCATGAGAAGCAGAATGGATGAAGGAACCATGGCTTGAATGAATGGCTTGACTGTAACTGTGAGTGCAATTTCATATTGATTAATGGCTGAGATAGAGTGTCAGTTTCTCCCATTTAATGACTTGTGTTAGAGTGACCTATAAACAAGCTTCCCATTGCCTCTAATTTTGCCCCCTTATTATGAGGGAATATTATGTCTTATAGTAAAATGGGTTGAGTTTGTTTGGAATAAATCTGTCCTTTTGGCCCTTAGGCAGGTAAGCATATCTTGTAATCTGGAGTTCTGGGGGGCTCAAAAAGGTTATTTTATTTTTCAAATAACCAAATACTTGACTGCATATCTGGATACAGTATCAATACAGAAACAGAGCTGAGCAGTTCGAAGGTTACAAATTAAGAGATGCAGTGTTCTTTTTTCTGTCAATTCACAAATGAAAAAGTCCAGTGAGAGCATTTTGTATATGCACATAGTTGTAGCAAAGAGCTGAAGCATATTAATGAATTTCTCATGTATTCATCATTGTATCCCCTTACTGCAGGCTACTGAAGTCTCTGATTAAGAAAGCATGGAACCAAAGACAAGAAAACACAAAAATAACTGGAAAATTCCCTATCATATGATGCAAGACTGAAGCGTAAAAAATTATAACACAAGGCAGAGAACATTCCATTCTCCCAGAGGATCTCTAAAGGAATGGATGAGGAACAACAATTAAGTAGTGAAGTCTGCTTCACTATGCACTCTCTGGATTATCCTCGTATCATCATGAGCACTTCCCTGTAGCCTCAAAACTACAGAAAAAGGTGAATTCTGACATGCTCGCTAAAAAATACATGACAGAAAAGTTTTTGTTACATATGAAGAAAAGCAAAAGACACCATCATTAATGGAAGATCTTTACACTT